GGAAACTACATACTCATAGTGAGAAAATTAAGTTACTACTCCCATAGACACCAACTCACCAAATATTAATTTAAAAACAGATCATCACTTTAATTTACTATGATTAAGTGATGGGGGCAAGGAAAGTTAATACGAATCAGTGCTGAGCTGTAAATTTTCAACCAAATGGAAGAGGGGAAGTTTCCCCACAAACACTTAATTTTCATATACCAGCTAGTTTCTGAATTAGAGAAAGTTTAGCATTTGACACAGGCTCGTTGGAAACCGACCCCAAACAGAAACTCAAATTAAATTAATTTACTGTTGCATACTTGTATTTCTTGAAGTCGAGAAGACTGGTTATGCTTCAGGGAAAGTTTAATAAACAACTGTTTCGTTTAGGACTTTTTAATATCACATGCCCATCAACCAATGGATCCAGGCAAAATGGCGGAGTGCAAGGAAGGTCTTTCATTAATACTTTCAGTTTGTAACTTTGGCATGAACTTATAAAGATACATTCTATTAATCGTGTCCATTAGGGATCCGCAATATCCAGTGACTCGACTTATGAACACATAACTTTTATGATCACACACATTTGCGTCCCCAAAAATATTTGTAAAAATGTTTTTCACTTCTTTAATTTAGACTCTGTCCCAACTCAAATCCATACCACTGAGAAAACCACAGTCTGAAAGATGTACTAATTCTCTGCCCTCCTCCCACCACACACACACCAAAACTTTTGCAAACAAGAGTGTGTTGGTGAAAAGAGAGAGAAAGAGCCATCCACTGCATGTCATGAAATAGACTTGCTTAAATTTGTTGTTTATGGGAAATAAAAAATGACCCAAAAAGGCTGAGAGGAAAGCAATGCTCTTGGTTATTCATTTGTTTTTATTTCCATCTCCTCATCTGTTATACAACTCTGGTCTTTTTTAAAAAAGGAAATTTATTTGTAAATAAGAGTAATGAGTTGGTAATGGGATTCAGAGATGGCCATTTTACCTGAGTGATGAAAAAAATCAATGACAGAGGCCTGCAAAGCCATCTGACTCCAGCTTGGCAATCCACTTCGCCTCCTGAGATTGTCTAATTATAAAGTAGTGCCACAAGTATTCTTCACTTGCAGATTAATTAGTTGATGCTTAAGCAGTTCTTTGAACATAAAAGGCAACATGTAAATCTGAACATAATCATTCATCCTCAGGCTAATGATCAGTTAATTAGTGCTTTTTGCTGTTTAACGGTCCATAAAGAAGAGGGTAATTTGAGGAAGGAGCTTCTCTCCCTGCTGACTGCTGAGATGTAGGATTGTAGGTCTAAAGGACTGGTAATTGACTCTCCCCTGTTCTGGTGCCTGACAGCCACAAGGGAAGTGAAAGAAAGCAAAGCACATTTTTGGCATCATTTGCATATTCACCACAATTAGGAGTCACTGTCCCAAATGAGCTAATCTGATGTTTTCGGCAAAACCAAAAACTCACCAGGGGTGAAGTTGATGGGGCTGAACTAAAGATGACTTTTAGGTGTTTTTATATATTCTTAAGGTGCTTGACTTCTTGCATTCTTAGTAAAATAGTACCAGGAATTGCTAAAGAGAAAAATTGTGATCATGTTGAAATGTTAAGTGCTTTGAAAAATACATGTATTTGCCCTTCTTACATGATTTTTGTAACATTTCTTTATAATTTTTCCTACTAGATTATGTACGCCAGAGTCAGATACCTTGTATTTTTCTACTTCCAGTTTTATCCAGCCAGGAGTTAGCATTCATTAAAAAGTGAATCCATGCACAAATAGCAACCAATATACACATGTAATTACGATGAGCAACTATGCCACCAGGTACAAGAATGATTTCTATCAACATTTTTTTAAAAAGATATATCAATAAAACATAAACAGCTCTGTTTCTCGGCCCAGAAGCACTATGTTCTAATGACAGGTTAACCTGAGCACCATACCAGAGCACTGTCCAACTAAAATCCCTCAGTACAAAGGCTGCTGTGCTGTTGACCTAGTCAATATCTGCACAGTTTTCTCAACTATAAAATAGGAAAATTATGACAATTCAATGGAACAACCGGAAAGGTAGCCAACAGTAACTATTTGATAAGTTAGTCATTTTAATATCAGTTGATTTTCTTTTTATAGGAACTTTGACTCAAGAGAAGAAAGTAAAAAACATTGATGAAAATGGGTACCCCCTCATTCTCTACTGGCAAGACTTTCCTTTGCCAAATAATCATTTCAAGTAGCCCAAAAGCAGCATCAGAAACTAGTATTGATATTTTATGACAGTATAAGATATGTACTCCACACCTAAGGTTTTGGGGATGTTGTAAAATTCGTCATTCAAAAAGAATTTTAAAAACAAAAGCAACGGCAGTCTTAATAGATACATAGTATACCAAATTTTTTCTTGAAGAAAAAAAAAGAATACAAAGAACATGGTGAAATAAACAATAGTATTGTTTGGAGAGAATATAATATAGTCTGAAATTTAACTTAGAAGAGGAAACAATGTACAAATAATAGTGGATGAGTATCTTAAAATACCCAGAAGCTTGTTCTGTTTTTCACAAGGATGTTTTTTATATTTCTTTTGAAACTCCCGGAAGAATTTCTACATCCCATTTTTTCCAAAGCCTCCACCCCTGAGTCTGACAACCCAGAAGCATCAGCATCCCTTACTCCCTGGGCTGGCAGGACAGTAGCATGTGCTTGCCCAGGTTCCAGAACATGAGCCTTAAGAGCATCCAGTTGGAAAGGTCCTTGCAAAGGATGCACATACAAGGACCTGCATTGTCCCTGGGCTCGCAGGAAAAGTGGTGGATGCAAAAAAAAAATATGTTGGTCCTGCAGAATGAACAAGGGGATTGCCTGACTTTGCCTCCAATTCTTGTGTGACTTTAATACCTTCCAATTTTCCAGTGTATAAAAGGTCTTACTCAGCGCACCCAAAATTATGTAAGAGAGTAGAAAGGAATGTATCCAAAGCTGAGTAAAACATCAGCCTTTGAGGAACATGAATCTGTTTAAAAGCAGGCAGAAAAGCAGATACGGCTGATGTCAATAACTTAAAACACAGGCTCAGGAAAAATAAAAAAGCCTCCGCTTAATAAACATTATATTAGACTCCTCTGAAATGCTGTCTCACATTTTCCCTTTGCTCTCTTTCTGAATACAAATGTTTAATGCAAGTGATAAGGACTTTTTTTAAAAAAAATTCAAACACTGAAGAAAATTTTTATCATTGATGATTTCTTTTATTCTCAAGCTTCTCCTCTTCTAAGACAATGAGGAACATAAGAACAATGCAGAACAAACCAACCAACCTAGGGAAGAGATTCTGCTTTCCATGACAGGCAGCACCCTGCAGATCCGTTGGTAAAATAAGATAGTGCACGCTCGTCCACCACAGTGACAAGCATTCTGACATGCAAAGGAATTCTCCTCCAACGTCAGAAGCCAAGGGAAACAGTGAACACCTAAGTAGATCATATTCGGAGGATTAAAAGATAAATAAATTTCACCAAGACTCTGATCCCAGACTGTGGGCCTTGCTGGCCTCCACCCCCTTTTATTGGAATCTCTGTAACCATTTTGCTTGGGGAGAGAAAGTAGATTTTAGTCTAGTGGGGAGAATGCCAAATATCCATAGCAACTCAGAATTTTTCCACTTTCTTTACATGTTCAATTGAGACCTTCATAAAATTATAAATGAAAAGACACATTATGAACACTTTCTTTGAAGGGGGAAAAGAAGGAGGGGGTGGGTCTTGCCTGGAAGTAAAATTCTGGGAGTCTCTATCGTTCTTCTCTGCAGAACACTGGGGGGTTTTCTCTGCCAACCACAAGACCCCCCAAAATCCTTATCTTTGCCTTCAGAATGACAAAGATGCAACCAACAGTGAGCCCCAGTCTCTGGGGGAGACGTGCATACCTAGGGGAGCACTGGAAAGAACGGGCCTCGGGTTCCATCCCTGGGGACCAAGGACAGTGTGTGTTGGCGCCTCCTTTCCACCAGCCTCCAGCCTGAAGGCCTCACGTCCTCCCCACCCCCAACCAGGGATTCACTCCTGTTTACATTGGGGAGACTGCTACTTCTGTTTCTTAACGTTTCAAAGAAGTTTAAAAGCTTATAAAAAGGCTCTTAAGATTTCTTGGACGCGAACCTCTACTGACAGAACAATATTTTGATGAGTTAAGTGTAAATGAATCACAAACCTAGGTATCACGTTTCCCTGGACAGGCACATCAGTTTTTAAAAATTAATGGAAAAAGTGCCCAAGGCTCAAAGTGGTTGGTTGGGGTTTTCTCCAACCCAAGATGCTTGAATGTGGAGGAGGGATCCATCTGGATCAGCCCAGTTTGCTGATCCGTCCCATACACGCCCCCAGAATGCTAGTTGTCCTGGAGGGTGGTATTTCCAGACTGTGACCAGCTGGCTGGGGACGTGTCACCGTTCCTGGTCATTATGCTTGGGTCGCAGATGAAGCCCTAGAGATGTCCTGCTGCTGTTCACTGAAGGCTGACACTAAAGGCCATCTTTTTTTTTTTTCCTTAAGACAAATGAAACTAAATAAACAATCACAGAAGGCCATAAATCACCGACAAAGACATTTAGATGTGAAATGGCCCTCAAAAATAGAATGTGCCCCAATTTGTCCCTCCTAGATTAACTCAGGTCTGAGTCCTATAATTATGGATCCTGAGACTTTTAATGATAGATGACACAGGGGTCAGGACTTGGGAGCTGGGAGAATGTTTTTGTTTTGTTTTGAACGCTGACTCTGGGTCCAAGAAAACACCCATAGGAACAGAGACAGCCAAAACTCCTGACACCAGACTTGATCTCTAAAATCATCGTATCATCATTCTTCTGAGGTTTTTTTTTTAATTTTTTTATTTTTTTGCTTATTGAGGGTGAGGTACTTTACCACTGAGCCACATTCCCAGGCTTTTTATTGTTTTTATTTTTGAGACAGGATCTCACTAAGTTGGCCCAGGTTGACCTTGAACTTGCAATCTTCCTGTCTCAGCCTCCAGAGGGGCTGGGATTACGGGTGTGCACTACACCCCCACTTTCTTCTGATTTTCTAAGTTCCTGTTTTGTCTCTGTTTTGGACCACGGTACCAGGTGAACAACCACGTCAGGTTCCCATCGCTGTGACAAAACCCCTGAACTACATCCACAAAGGAGGGAAGACTTAGTTCGGTTTGCAGAGACAGAAGTTTTAATCCACAGTCATGGCGCCATTACTTCTTAGGCCTGTGGGGAGGCGAACTTCTCCATGCAGGACACTCAGTGGGGCAAAGAGAAAGAAGAGGGATGCCAGGACCCCCTTCAAGGGCACACCCCCTGAGACCTAACTCCTTCCACTAGGCCCCACCTCTTACAGGGTCCACTACTTGCTAGGAATGCCATGGACGGGCCACCCAGCCTTCCACACCTGGGCCTCTGCGGAAGGATCAAGATCTAAACTGCAGCACCAACACAGCGCAAAAAGCCAATTCAGGGGGCTTTCAGAGCTGCCCTCATTTGTCTCACTGGGTCTTCTGATCATTTGGGAGGTTGTGTCACAGATATCACAGTGGTGAGCACTGTAATATGGTAGGAGAAACCCGCCGTGTGTCCAGGACTTTGGAAGTGCCATTATGCTCATGTCCAAGAGCACCTGGAGGCTTTCTGTGAGCTGCTGTGTGCTTGCTCCACATGACTGTTGTGCCATGATTCTCAAAAGCCCCATTCTCCATCCCCTGGGGGAGATTTTGCATCTCCCTGTCATCACCTCCAGCTCGGGAAGGGTAGGGACTCGACAGAGCTCCCCTGCCACAGAGTGATCCATGCCTTCTCCATCTGGTCCCAAGAAACACTCTCTCAAAAGCCTGGCTGGGCTGGTGGGAGAAGAAAGGCTATCTTTCAGTAGACAGACATTTTAAGGCTGCTGTTCAGCCTTATTCTACTCAAAGCACAGGATGGCTACTTGCATGACTAAAAGGATCAGTGAGTGACTGGAGGCTCGTTCTCTTACAGAAGTTGTGGAGATGAATGAAGATGTACAGGCTGTCAGAGGAAGGCCTAGTCCAAATGCCCTCCATCTCCAACAGCCATGCCCCCCAATTCCAACCCATCCCCAACCAAAAAATAAGAGGATTAGGGTTTTGTAGGACAGAAGAGAAGCAATCCAGCAATGACACATTCCAAAGAGAGCGAACTAAAAGTTTCTTTGCTTTAAGAGGCAAAAAACAAAAACAAAAACAAAACAAAATGAAGTAGTAGCAGCTTCCTGGGAGCTAGCAGACACAAAACCACTGAGAAGAATGTGGAAGTGCTAGTTGTCCAATAACAACCCTTATTTCCCCCCAGTGAGCTCTGGGGATTGGAGAAAACACTGACAACCAAGTCAGGGAACAGGATGGACATCAATAATGACCAGTTCTGACTCATTTTCCCAGAACTCTCCTAGGCAAGCCTGGAGAATGTGCAGAAATAGGTATTACGACCACAAATTGGTTCCTTTTCATCCTGCATAATCAAGAGCATCCTTTACTCACAGTCTCTCTTCCTGTACCTGGGAATTCAGGAGGAAGAGGCTTGCCTGTCCTCACAGCTTTGCTCGGGTGGATGAAAGTGGTAGAAATAAAGAGCATGAGCCGCTGGTGCTCCCAGCTGTCCCTTGACTAAAGGCGAATTTGCAAACCCGTCATTTATCCCCAAGAAACTTCTGAAGCCTTCTCTTGCCCTTCCCCCCCTGCCTCCATGCCCTGTGTGTTAAAGCTCATTAAGACTCACCTCTCCTATGATGATAGCAGAAAGAGCCATGGAGTAGAGGAAGGAGAGAGATAGGGAGGGAGAAGGACTGGGAAACGGGAGGTGAGATGGAATGGGCTGGCCAAGCTACCCTATGTGGATACATGGACAGGCCACAGTGAATCTCACCTCTACGTATATCTATAAAGCGCTAATTTTGAAGTTAGCCAGTAGAGTAGAGGAAAGGAATGGGGGGAGAAAGGAAGGGAGGGAAAGAGGAAGTACTAGGGACTGTAAATGGAGCAGATTATGTTCCCTGCTTGTATGATTATTTCAAAATAAAACCCACTATTATGTATAACTATAATGCACTCATAAAGAAAAAAAATTCACAGTCCCTCCTCCCATACGGGGAGTCCATGCAAAATCGAAATTAAGCATCACTAACTGCAGGAGTTGGAGCCAGACCTCATTTTTACCTGCATATTTTTTAGAAGGACCTCAGAAAGGAGGTGGAGAAACCCAGCTGGGGATTAACGGACATCGTCCCCACAGCCCGGGCCCTGATGTCACATTCCTTTGATATGAAACCTGTGCCTCCCTTCTTTTCGGCTAAAGAAAACAACTTTTGCAGAGTCGGCTTGGCCTCCCAGCCCGGCTGCTGCTGCTCCGAAGCCTGTGCTGCCCCACACTGCTGCCGTTCAGCGTCTAGGGTCATGGGGGCCAGCTGGCAGGGGTTCTTTCTTCTTTCAGTTTGATACATCCTTCCTTCCGCTGCTCCTTGCAACCAGCAGCTAGGGGAAGGAGGGAGGCAGGCGGGAGGGAGAGCTGGAGACTTCCGGAAACCTCTTTCCTCTCCTCCCTTCACAGGTTGCACCAGAATGACCCTGGAGACTCCCACCTGCCCCCAGTGAAGGAATTGGTTACTCTCCCGGAGGCCTCCCAGGCACCAGCCCCCTTGCTCACTTCCTCCCCTTCCTGCCCTCAGCCTCTAAGACTCTCCAGCCTCCTGTGGCTTCTCAACCAAGCCCTCCTCCCCAGGAAGAATGAAACAGAGCTGGATAATGGCATGGAGAGCCCTTGGCCCTCCCTCTGCCCCACTCCCTCTAGTGCACATGTGCAAACCTTCCTGGTATCCTTTGTGAATCTAGACGCAGGAGGGTGGTTTCCAAGATAGCATGCAGCGTCTATTTTTTTCTGTTAATGAATAATATTCAGGTGTGCTCCAGAGGAAGCGCTTCTTAATGCATATTTTATAGGGATTTAGAATAGATTGATTTTGAATGTACCATCTCTTCTTTAGAAACCCTAAACTTGTTACTTGTGCTGTTTTACCCAGAGAAGGGGGGAACCCACCCTTGCACCCACCCACTCTCATTGATGACTACACATTGTTTTAGGTCGCTGGCATTAAGTTATGCCGCTTATTTCCTCTCCACGAGGCTCTGCAGGCTGAGATCAAAGATTATCGTCAATGCTGACTTGACACGTACATCTCAAGTCCAAAGACTACCTGCAAAAGACCCCAAGCAAAAACGCTGGCACTTAGAGAAAGTTTGTTTTCCTTTTTGAATTCTATTATTGGAAAGAATCTTCGTGGCTGGGCAGCAGGTGCGGGCCTGCAGCAGTTGGGGTCATATATTAGAGTACTTACGGCCCTTATGATTTTCATGGGCTCAGTCCCCTGGTTGCCAATTAATTTCACTCTGTTTCAGGGTCACAGATCATAACCCTAATCCTGGCCAGTTGTCTCACCGATGTATGTCATCAGAGGCCTGGGGCAAGAAGGTATAGATGGCCTGGCACGGCCATAGCTTCTATTGGAGAAAAACAACTCAGAGGACATGTGCTACAAAGAGCAGAACTCGATTAGAGGCAGGCATAATTGCAGTCACTAAATTAGCCTGGGTCTCTCAGTCAGGGGCTAATCTAAGCCAGACCTCAAGTAATGTCAGGCCATGAGAATGTGGCCATTACAATGAAAGAGAAAAGAGAAAAAAAAAATCACCCTGGACTCCCAAAAGTTTATTTTTAACATGGCCTGGTACTTAGTAATCGAGTCAGATATGGAGGCATCTGGAATGAGCAAGAAAAGCAATTTGGATTGATAATTTTTGAAATGCCAAAGGACTAGGACCATATCTGTAGGGTTGAGCCTTGTCAACTGGACATGAGCCACATTCATCCCTCCTCCCTGGGACCCGCTTTGGGCTGCTCAAGGTTTTCTTCCTGCAGGGACCCCAGCTGAGGCTACACACAGACCCCTCTGCTGATAGTGCTTTGGATACCCCAGGCCCCATTTCTCCCAAGTAGCAGCACTTGGAGCCTCTGCATTATGTCTCTTCTCTTTTTAAATTTCCCCCATCTCCCTCAAGCCTCAGGCTTCTACCCAAATTCCCTGACTCAGTCCTTAGAGCTCTCGTCCATGAAAACGTTAGAAACCCAGAGCTCCCAGCAAATGTGCTTTCCCCACGGTCATGTTATGTATTGGGTGGGTCCTCTCTGTAATACACAGGGATTAATTTCACATTTGAAATTCGTGTGTGTGTGTGTGTGCATGCACACATGTGTGTGTTTAGTCCATTTCAAAATCCAGTACACAAACACACCATGCTCTGCTTCTCCTAACTTTGCTATTTCACACCCTGCAGCCCTGGATTCGCTGGTACCGTGCAGCTTGTTTATTTGCCACTTGGGTTTTCAAACCAAAGACCCATTGGGTCTCCACAGGTGAAATTATATTAGAATGCTGCCAAGGATTACATTGCCATGGGTGGATGGGAGGCCTATTTTTCATTTTCTTTCCATCTAAAGACAACTGCTTTGAGAAGACGTGGGCCTTTTCCTGGCTAGAACATAGCAACCACAGCACAGTTCGTTTTGGAAAAATTTGTCCGGATGTTGGACTTCCCTGGAATTTCACCTTTTTAAATTTCAAGATACATAGGCCATCAGCAGGACTGTGGACAACTTTTGATCCCGGGGAGAAACTCATTGTAATGGGAAAATTTTCTGTTAATATAATGATTTAATAAAGATATCTGGTACATCAATAGGATTCTCAGACTAAGCGTTTCGGACAATGAGAGGCCTGAGATCAGCCATAAGGTGTCCTAGTAGAAGCATCTTCTCTGGCTTTAGCAGGAATCCCCGTCTCTGCATAGATAAACTTTGTGGTTCTTAACTAAAAATCCTCCTGAAATTGATGCACAGAGAAATATTCTGGTACGGGAAATTCCAAATGAGCCTGCCATTTTTAGAAGGAAACGGCAGAAAAGGACAAAGATAATGTCCCCCTCCCTCTCCCTCAGTGAAGTTCTGCCTTTGTGCTTTACCTGTGAAAACAGATGTTTTGAAAAGTTTGGGTTCCCTTTCACTGGAAGCCAACATAAAGGTAGTGCTGGGATCCTCCTAAATGAATAGTGACCAACCGCTTTGCCAGATGATTTTTAAGTGAGGAAAGACCAAGAGGACAGGGGCACAAGTGGGGCTGGGTCATCAGGGGCCGAGTGTGCGCATGCGTGTGTCTGCATTTGGCAGGACAACAGGAGAATTCTGGACCCAAGTCTTCCCCTTTTGGATGAGCTGTGCTAAATTCTTCCTTTCTTTCTTGAAAAACTCCAGTGGATTAATTTCCCCTAAACCACCCCTGGGACTGCTTGCTCTCTTTTCTCCCATCCCATCAGGGACACACCTTCCCCAGATGGCAATGGGACAGACTTCCCTTCTTCCTCCTCCCTGTGCTGACTCCTGATCTCTCCCTGCTCCTACAGGCTGGGCTTTCTCTCCCACGGGTTTGCCCAAACAGTGCAAAGTTGTGATAGGGCAGGAGAATACACATGGACCTTTTTGGACTCCATATTCCTCCCCCCCCCGTCTACCATTTCAGCAGTGATGGAGAGGATAGAAAGCTGTCGGGCCACCAAACTGACTCTCAGGATCCAGGTCACCCAAGGAGGGACTGCATAATTTGTTTATATGAACAGCTCCACCAGACCTCGAAAAGTCCTGCCACGCGCATAATTCTCCTCCAGGCTTGGTGTTCTCATTTTGCTTCTTTGTTTAGCAAAAGAAGGAGGAGAAAAAAAAAAAGGCCATTGATTCTTCTTCTTCCTTGACCACTGGAAGAAAGGTAGAGAAATAGAAAAAATAAAATTAACAAAGAGAGGACCCATGTCCCTCCTCCTTCCTCCTTCTCTCCCCATCCACAGGCAAAATCTAATAAAGATGATTAAATTACATGTCTTTTCCTCCCATTGAAATCTACTGCATACTATTCAAATATTAGAACTCAGGAAATCAGGCAGGACAAGTCCCTCATGAAACCTTAGAAGGCAGCACAGGGGTCCGGGCTGGAGGTCTGCCTGGCTGGGCGGCTCTAATTAAGAAATCACCCTGCTGAGCAGAACTTAATCTAAATAAAATATAAAAAGGAATCCGGTGAAAACCATTACCTCCCATCCACCTCCCTGCACACCTCATGTCCACAGCCTCCTTTTCCTGGTCCCAGACGCTCTGCCTCCCAGTTTCAGGGAGTTCCATGTTGGTCTGTGGGACCACCGTACAATCAAGTGTAAAGACTCAGCTCGGGAACTGGGAGCTGGGGCTTGTGCTGACTGCAAACCATTCAGACTGTCTTAGGGCAGAGGCAGATTCAGCCGGTGTTGTTTGAGTTTGGAGATCTGTCCACCTCTTCTTTAGCTTTAACACAAGAGCTGCTGCTAGCCCACCACCCACCTGCAGCCTGCTGAGTTCTTACCTATCCATCTGCCGCCTTTGATGGACCAGCCACTTGAAAACAAAGATCGATTCTGTTTCAGTTGGTTTTGTTCAGTATCCTTGTAGCAGTTAGTCCTTTAGTCTGTATTGAGTCAGTCCCAGAACTATCCCCCATTCTGGTGCTGGGTTACCCCACTGATGATCAGAGACATTTTCTTAGCCTGATTTCCCTCTACACCCCATAGAAATCTGTTCTGTGTTCTCATTGATGTCACCATTGGCCCTCCCAAGTTTACCTCTGTTAGCCATCATGTCTGCCCACCATAGTGGTTTCAAAACTGTTGAAAATATGTTAAAAGGGTAGACTCACTCTCTCTCTCTCTCTCCTCTCTCTCTCTGGTGAGGAACACACAAAGATGCACATAAACAGATTTTTTTCCAGCCATTACAGGGAGCACTTCACTCTTTAATTCAAAGGCCCTTGACACACATTGTCCTTTCTCTCATTTCTCCTCCCATTAAAAAAAAAAAAAAAACTTCTGCTTATCCTCAAGAAAAACTCCCCCAAAGCCTGCAAATTCCTGCCCTGTGCTACTGATGCCCCTTGTCTGTAAGTCTAGGATATCACCCACCACAGTGCAATGACTACTTTTTTGCATGTCTATCTTCCTTTAGACCAAAAGTAGGCACACTTTCTCTAGAAGATCTTAAATATTTCAGGCTCTGTGAATAGCAATTACTCACCTCTGATATTTTAGAAAAATAGTTATAGACAATGACGCAGTGAATTGAGGATGCTATAAGAGAATTACTATAGACTGGGTGGCTTATAAAAAATAGAAGTTTATTTCTCACAGTTCTAGTGGCTAGGAGGTCCAGGAGCAAGGGACCAGCAGATTCCATTTCTCATGATATTTTAGAAAAATAGTTATAGACAATGACGCAGTGAATTGAGGATGCTATAAGAGAATTACTATAGACTGGGTGGTTTATAAAAAATAGAAGTTTATTTCTCACAGTTCTAGTGGCTAGGAGGTCCAGGAGCAAGGGACCAGCAGATTCCATTTCTCATGAAGGCCCACTCCCTGGTTCATAGGCAGCATCTTCTCATTATGCGCTTGCATGGCAGAAGGGGAGGCATTTGAGTCTTTCCATGAGGGCACTAATACCACTTGTGAGGGCCCCACCTTCAGGACCCAGTCACCCAAAGGTCAACATGTTGAGGATGAGGTTTCCAGAAGAACTCAACTATTCAGTCTATAGCAGATGTAGCTACAGGAAATAAATAAATGTAGCTATATCGCAAATGCTCTACTCACACCTTGTTTTCATGGGTCACGAAATACAGCTCTTCTTTGTTTTTTGAAACATTAAGAAAAATGTAAAAAATATTTTTGTCTGTCAAGCTTTACAAAAACAGATGGGTAGGGGCAGACTTAGTCACCCTGGCCCACTCTCCAGGTCACGTCCACTCCTAGTCTAGACTGAGGAGAGGCCCCCAAAGACAAATCCTACCCATCACCACGTTTCGCCATCCAGTTCCTCAAAGGTACTTGTTTTTGAGTTTCACTACCGAGCATTACCCAAAACATAAAATGAGTGAATACATGAACAACTCAATGACCTTGGTCTACGGAAAGTTTTTGAGACAAAAAGGTAATAGAACCACCATTAGTGTGACTCTGGGGACACCAGGGAGACTCCATCTTTCATCGTGATTGGGGACATAATACCTAAGGTGGCCACTACCAAGGTCACAGTCACAGATTCTATAAGACTGCAGTTATTCCATTAATCACTGGGTAGGTGCTGACCCTTCTGGAGCAGTCCAGTCTCACTCAGTGCACTCAGAAAGTACCTCCTTTTAAAGATGAGATTTCCTTACCATGCCCTGTGTACAGAGAGTTACAGCTTCTTAAACATCCTCTGTAATTCCCTAAACCTTATGTGGTAGGTAACCTAAGCTCCAGCTACCCATAATCTCCTCTTCTGGTGCCCAAGTCCTAGTGTAATAGGCTGCTCATGAACATGGGCTTCTAAGCAATTGAGGACACACCATCAGTGGGCTGTTACTTCCAAAATCAGGTCATATAAAGTTGCAGCTTTTGTTAGCAATCTCTCTCAATGACTTCCGTAGCTCACATGCTCAATGAGGAGACTTGCAGGGCCAAGAGACCCATGTGGCAAGGAACCAAGGATGGGCTCCAGTCTGTAGCTAGTGAGGGACCAGAAACAACAGGCCAACAACCATCCAAGAAATAAATCCTGTTGGCCACTCCACAGGTGAGCTTAGAATTGAATCTCTCCTTGGTGGAGGCTGCAGGTGGGACAACAGACCAGAGGCCAACACCTTGACTTCAAACTTATGAGAAATCATGAGATAGAGGACCTAGAAAAGCCATGGCTAAATTCCTGACTTACAGAAACCATAAGATGATAAATACATCTTGTCTTAAGCCACTAAGTTCTGGGATCATTTGTTACACAGCATTGGATAACTAACACATTCTCCCTATTATGAAAACTGGATGTCTATTTAGCTCCTTTTTCCCCACCAAAACATTAAGTTCATCCAGGCAGAAGAGATAACATACCCACATTAATGCCTCCCACAGCCATAACCCTAACAAATGTCCCTTAAATCAACCTCTACTTTTTGTGTTTCATTGATGCGGTTACTGTAAAATGATAACAATAGTATTTAGATATGCATGAGCAGCAGCACAAGGCCGATGGCTGGTTAGGGCAGAACAATTTTGAAAATTATGAAAGGCAAAAAAAAAAAATCTGGATTTATACCCAACAGTACCCAGATTGTGTTTCAAAGGCTTTCGGGGGGTTTCCATTCATTTCCAGAAGACTTCAAAGCCGGTGCCTCCTCGTGACATGAGAAAGGTCTTTACCCTCATAGGCCCAACTGCAGGGACTGGCCCAGCAGGTGGTCAATCTAATAATTTTACACATTGCTCCTCATTTCCCTTCTTCTAGAAAAAGATGGCAATAGGGAGAACCATGAGGGGAAGAAAGGAAAAGAAAAAGGGTTAGAAAAAGTAGCAGAGGAAAGAAAAGAAATGGAACATCCAAGCCAGACACCGAGAAATGATTCAAGAGAAAAAGTCTGACTTTCCTGTCTCGGGTCATAAATATTTTGACAAGGAGCTTAGCCTTTATCAAAAAAGGGAAAAAGGGAAACAAAAGTTGTCTTCCGGAGACCCAACGCTCTTGGAATTCAATGACCTAATTCTGCAGGAGGTTGCAGTACAGAGATTGTCTCCCCCGTCTGAGTCTTGTGGCATGGGGACCACGGTTTCCTCCACAGCACATGCCACACCACTATCAGAGGTTGGGAATAAAGACCAGAGGATGTAGGAACATGCTCGAGATACCATGCCCAGACAACGTGTGTTTGAATCAGTGTGTTGTCACTCCCTATCTTCCTGGTTGCTTATCTTAGCAGTTAAGTCAATGTTTCACTGCATTTTTAGACATTATATAATATCTTCTTTCCCCTTCTTCAGCCACCAGATGTTAGCCAGAATCATCCCAGAATGGAACAAGGGTTGAGTCAGCTCAAGCTGAAGAATTTACACACTGATACTTAAAGGAACCGATTCCCCCACCATGGGACAAAGCAAAATCTTCTGGAATGATCACTGGACCAGAGCCATCTCAAAAAAGAAATCTGAGCATGTTCAAAGGGCCAAACCATTGGAGCTAGTTATTTTAAGCTTAAATATTCTCATCTAGAAAGTGGGGACAATAATAAGGTATATCTCGTATGGTTATTGGGAAACTAAATGATGTGCAGAAGCCTTGGTCTATTGCAAGTTTCCTGAACTGTAACGCTATTGACATTTTTCAGAGAGATAATTCCTCATGGGGATGGGTGAGTGGCTCTGTCCTATGTACTACGGGGAGTTCAGCAGCATCCTTGGCCTTGACCCACTCGACCAACCACCACCCTTTTGAACCACTGTTCTGGTTCTGTGCATATAGTGACTGTCCCCAACATGTTAGAGGTGACAATTATTACCATGGTTATAGTAGTAGCAGCAGTCTGCTATGGTGTCAGCTTCTCTGTCCCACGGAGTACTTAAAATAGTGGCTATGTTTCCACATCCTTTTTAAAAGTCAGAGTCCATAAGAGGCAAGATCATTCATTTGCTAACAATCTCACAGGAAACCCCGTGAGGTCTCCTTTCATGGAAGGAAAAGGGGCCACCATTTTGTTCTGCTGCAGAAACCAGATACACTCCTCAGCCTCAGTCTGTGAGATGTCGCAGATCTTTCCGCTGGTATAAATACTCCTGCTGTCGGGGTCTCTACTTTGGTGCACTCTGGTGACTGCTCTTGGGGATTTCCAGGGGCTCCACCACACAGACCTGAGGAAGGAAGGAAAGAGATTTTCGGGAAGGAGCCATTTTCAACAGAAGTTACTCCCTCGGCTGCTTTTGTGGTTTTGTGCTTATTTGGGTTTACAAGTGTGTTTTTTTGCCCAGCTATCCTCGCACATTCTAACAGTGTTTGCTTTAGGTGTTTTGATACCATGCTGTTTCGAAGGTACCAATGTTTTCCATGGCATGTCTTGTGTTAGGTGTACAAACTGAGAGGTGACCGTCGGTGACTGAACAGAGTGCAGTATTCCTCAAAGTTTTTAACCAACTAAGTGCTTAGACGGAAGAGAAACGAGATTTCGGACAGTTTAGGAATCATCCGTAGACAGTAAGAAATGTCTTTATAGCTCCTATTTTTATCTTTAGAATTAGGGCAAATTTTACTCTCCGTGCTAAAATAATGTTTCTTTGTTCCAAGGTAAGAACGTGTAGGTGAACTGTCCACCTTGGGCCCTGTTCATGATTGTGGCTTTTCCTCTTCTCCTTTTAAAAGTATGTGTAGTGCATTGACAGAGTTTCTGATCTTGGAGTCTGATGCACCTGAATTCCAGTCCTAGCTTTACCAATCTTGGGATGGTGAACCTGAGCAAGTCACCTCATCACAGGGAGCCGCAGTTTGCACACTGGAAATGAGGAAATGGAAAATGATCAGCCAGAGGGCACTGTTGTTGTGAGGAGCAGAGATCATATGTGTAGACTCTAGAGCAGACGGTGGGCAAAGGGACCAGCAGACACGTGATCAGTAGGCCATGTGATTCCTGTAAGGAGTAGTTCTTGGAGGGCAAAGTGGTTATAGGGTCACACATTCCATAAATGGGAAATAAAATTGGAATGCATTCCTCTGTTCCCATGTCCCCACCCTCTGCCTACCCACTTGACCACCTGCATTGGTGTTCCTCATACCTGACCCATTCCAGAAAGAAGCAGCCAGGTCTTGAGAAATATTTCCAAAGCAGAACCCACCCAAGCTCCTTGGCCCTTTCAAATACCTATCCTGGAAAGATTTCCTATCACTTTCCCAACTCTGGATCACGTGGACTTGGAACCTGTACCAAAACCTGGGACCTGGCCTCTTCATGCCGATAGTTTCTCTCAGGGGTGTTCCAGGTATTTCACGGGCCTCTTCTGAAGGTTCTGTTGTGTGATGTGGAGAGAGGGACAGGGAAGTCCCATGTTTCACAAGCCCCCAGGTAGGCCCTACTATCATGCACTCCGGGAAGGCTGGAGTTGGGCCATCTGCCTCTGTTGCCTCCCAAGTAGGACCACAGCTCTAGACATCGGGAGCAAAGACCAGTATCTAAAGGATATTGACTGTGGCTAACTTAATATCAGCCCGAGTAGCTCTCCTAACTCAAATGCATACCTCCTCAACCTAATGGGAGAAGAAATTCACAGAATGGTTCCTTATAGGAATATGAGGGAGGTGTAAAATAATAACACTCTGTGACTCAGTATGAAAGGGACCTTGTATTGGTATATAAGTACATGTGTCTTGATATACAAGGACCTCAACCTGTATTTTGAGTAAAAACTATCCAAGTACCTAATAATATATACAGTCTTCCCCTACGCATCCCTTTCTCTCTCTACTTCTCTCTCTAGATTGTAAATCATGCACTCTGGAAGGATATTCAGCAGTACTGTCTGCTGGTGCTTGTACAGTAGAGAACAGGACTAGAACCCAGGGCAGGAGGGGACTGACTTGTCACAATCATCTCCCTTATAGACCCTCTCATTTGTGTACCTTATACAAGCTTTACCTATGGGAAAATTTGTTTTGATTAATAATTAAAAAAAAAAAACTCTACCTTGCTAGCTCTCAGGTCCTATCCACGTCCTTCCCCCTGCTCTTGTCCTCTCTTTCTGTGCAGCTTTGATCTCCTCTTCACACTAAGAGAATCTTTCTTTTCACTTTTTATTTTTAATTATAAATTGACAGATTACAGCCGTAGGTATCTGTGGTGTACAGAGTGATGTTGGTGTTTTATGAATGCACTATGGAATGAACTCAAGCTAATTAGCACATTCAGAACCTCAAGAACTTCTCATTTTTCTTTGCCATGAGAACATTTTAAATTTATTTTCTCCGCAGTGTTGAAACATACATTATTATTTACCGCATTCACCACACTGTGCCATGTATCTCAAAGTTTTCTAAAAATTAATTGAGGCCGTGTACGCTTAGGCCATCGCCTCTCCTTTTCTTACCGCCAAATTACGGAATCAACATAAGCGTCCATCAACAGACGAACGAATAAAGAAACTGTGGTCTACACTCAACGGAACACTATTCAGCCTGAAAAAGAAAGTTTTGCCACTTGCCACAATGTGGGTGGAACTGGAGAACACTGTCACTAGATGTGGCTACAGAGTCATGGGAATACCTCACCTGGATCTGAACAGAACTTGGTTATGAATGTGTATTAAATGATGAATCTCTCAACTCCGGTTCTGGCTTATTTTTCCAGAATAAATGAAGCTACCATAAGGTGGGTAAACTAAAAAAAAAAAAAAAAATTCTCTCTCTCTCTCTCTCTATAAAAAAAAAAAAAAAAAAAAAAAAAATTCTCGAGAGCAAAGTTCTCCTGTTTTGGAGAAAGGAAGATATTATTCAGGAGGTTTTCTAGGCTGACCTCATGGTGCACGGTCAAGCTCCTAGCCTGGTGTCTGGAGGGCAGGTGCAGTGACCCCTACCACGTGGGTGAAGGTACATGCAAGGTGATTGTCCAAGTGCCTGGTATGGGGCAAGCATTTAGCCCACGCCTGAACCACGGGACAGAGCAGCGCCCAGCCCCACACCCAACTCCAGCCCCACAGGAGGACTTAGCCTCCACTGAAGCTGCTCGTGAAACAGTGCTTACTCAGAGGGCCCACCCTGCAGGTCAGGGGGTGCCTCTCCTGCAAGGCCCATCAACCGCAGAAGGTGACAAATTACATCTTCACCAGGAGAGGCGAGGCTAAGTGACGTGGGGAACATTCCCTGTGGATTTACCTGCTGCACAGTTCCCAGTATTGAAGTCACCTCCTTCCCTCCCGATCCTGCCCACTGGGTAGCTTGTGGCCAGTGGACTGAGGAACAGAAGACCATTGGAGTGAGCCTCCCCAGCTGCCAGGTGGGCAGCTGCCAAGATATTTCCCCCCAGGTTTCTGGGTGAGTTTTTAAGGCAACACCCTTGAGAGGGAAGCAGAGCCTTCTTGCCACAGGCATGCGGGACACAAGGCCTGCACAGTGTTTTTGAAAAGCCAGTATCGCTCGCTGACGATAAAGGGGCATTCACGGTGCGCAGAGCCACTCGGCGGGAACGGGTGGAGCCGGGGCTACCGGGCAGGCTCGAGGCCTGAGTTTGCAAACAGTTTTCTGTTTCCACCGTCTCTGGAGCTGAGCAAGTGCCAACGCGGCTGAAAGCTCTAGGAGCCACCGCAGGCCCAGATAGCGAACCCCCGGTCTTTTCCATGGAACTTAGCAGCAGCTACCAGGGGCGTCACCAGGGAGCATGAGCTTTTTCCCTTGCCTGGTTTCCCACATTCTGTGACCACCTTGGCATTGGCCAGGGAAAATATTGAAAGCCTAGGTAAACAAAGGGGAACCCGACGTTCACCAGTCTGGCCTTAAAATAGCCAGGGGAGTACACAGGCGGCAGCCGCAGGCAGGGTGTCCAGGGCCCACCCCACCCCACCCCACCCCACCCCACCTCACTTCACCCCAACGGTCGCCCCCAGCCCGTGAACGCCCGGCCCAGAGAGAGGACAAACAGGGAGCCAGGTTCTCTACTGCCCTGCTGCCATTACCCTGTGACTTAGGTGAATTGTGCTGAACCCCCAGTGACCATCAGCAAGCACCACTCGCAGGGGGCAACGCAGACATCAGTGAAGTACATGTCTGGGCTGAGGGTAAGCGGGGGACAGAGCAAACAGAGAGCCAGGAGGGGAGCGGAGGCCTCCGGAGGCACAGGTGCCCCAGCACCCTGCAGAGAGAGAGCTATGCACATGTTGACTCCTGGGCAGCCTGGGCGGTGCATCTCTAAAAGCTTCTGCCACCGTGTCCTAGGCTGTTCACCCTGGCCACCGTGAGGCAGCGGTGAGAGGGGTGGGCAGGGAAGGAGAGGGAGGGGAGGGGCCCTCAGGGCTGAGGAAGAGCAAGATCACACTGTACAGAAGCTTTCCAGTGTTCTCTAAAAAGGTCCCCATGGCAAGTTACCTGACTTAGCAAATCAACACGTAAGATACCCAGAGAAATCTGAATTTCAGATCAACACTGAAATATATTTTTCAGGATACATGGGTCCCAGGCAGTCTGATATTTTTTTTAGGGTGAGTACGTTACAGGCAATAACTGGACATACTTGTACTAAAACTAAAATAAAATAAAATAAATAAAAATGTGCTTATTTAATCAGAAATCTAACATTCAGTTAAATCAAAGTTTGGAATACTAAAAAAAAAATGGACTTTTATTACAAGTTTTTCTCATGTAATATTTGAGACGTACTAAAAAATATATTCCAAGTTGATCACTCAGCATAACTGGGTGCTCTGCATTGTATGGGCAACCCTGGCCCCACAGCTTGCCCCCTCCACTGGAGAGGACCCAAAGGCTGAGGCTGTTTCTGCCCTGTCCCCTCTGCATTTCTCCTGCCACTTTGCGCTACAATGTGGCTCAGAGAGAAGTAACGGCCAGCATGGGCAAGCCGGCTCTGCAGTCCGAATGTCTGAGCCTCACCTGTTCTTAGCTGTGTGCTCCTGACCAGGTAATTCAACCATTGACTCTTACATAGTCTCATCTGCTAAATGGAATACAACAGTTGCCCAGCCTAGAGAGGTGTTTTAAGGAAACGATACATATAAATCATTTACTATATGGTAGGTTCCCGCAAAGTACTCAAAAAACATTAGCTACTATTATTGATTGCCATTGCTATTATTATTTACTTGATCAGTCAGGGAAGTGAAAGAGGGAAACTAACTCCTGGGTGTTGGAGCACTTGTGT